AGCATGCCTAGGCGCGTTGGAGAATGCGTAGCACATCAGGGTGCATCCACACATTATTAAAGGTCAAAGGGCTTTAAAGCAGTGCAATCATTTTGAAATTTTTATCATTTACATATTATGCTTCATTAAGTACTTATAATATAATATAATATAATAATAATATAATAAAACCATTTAAACTGGGTGTTCGGATTTATATGTCACTTAGTATATATCGAGGTATACGAAAATGTAAGTTTTATTTGTTGCTGTTGTTCTGCAATCAAAGACGTTTATTATTATTACAATTATTCTTAATACGTAAAAACGAAAATTGCAGCAACATGCTGGTTAATACTTACGTGGGATAAAAGTTGTAATCGTAAGTAGTAATTAGTTTTATTTTAAGAATAACAATGCCATTGTCTAAAGACAATATATTTCTGTAGAATTCATATTTATTGAAATATTGACTACGGTTTAAATGAAACTTTATTATTGTTTTGAAAATAGTTGCTATTACGGTAGATGTGCTACTATTGCTTCTGCAGTCGTTTTGCTTACTTATGCACTTAAAGTAAAATGATACCTTAGCGTTGTCTCTTGATTTGTTGAAGTAAAACTGCCAAATCACTTTTTCTAAAAAAAAAAGAAGTACCAGTGGACACCCTCTAGAGATACGATAAAAGCTCCAACAGACAAAAGCCTGGTATTTCTTATAGGCATGAATTATTTATTATGCTGAATACTAAAATGAAGTTATCTACTGAATGGAGGAAAAGTACAGTGCAGCAAAACTTTTTTTGGATATAAGTACAGTCATCTCCATAATCACGACATTAAAAGTATTGAATCTGAGTTAAAAGAAGACATAAAATCTATTAGTATGTGAGCAAAGAATCTTAGCCTGTTTAGAACTGTTTAGAAACGATGCCAAAAGAAATTTTAAAATGAAATTAAATGGTGAGACTATAGAAGTGAGTCAGCGAAAACATTGGGCTTACCAGTGAGGATTGTTTTTCCATTTTACGACAATTATATCTTAATGAACAATTCCTTCACTATACAACTGAAAAAGATTTGTGTGGATCTTTGGTAATCTTCAAGATTAGTTATTGCGATTTAGTTTATCTTCCATTTCTCGACTCATTATCTCTCACACGTATCCAGAAAATCAAAAATTCATGTTGTAGGTCGATCAATAATTTGAAAAAGTATGATCATATGGGCCTTTTTTTCAAAGACATGAACTGGTTGAGAGTAGAAGAACTGTGTGAGCTACACTTAGTTACTTACACCCACAGACTTTGCTCTCATCCATTTTGAGAAATAAGCTGATATCTGGAAGCAATATTCATTCTAGGGTCATTCGATTCACAATGCCCCTTCACAGGACATCATTCTTTACCTACAACGCAGTTATTTTTACAATGATTTACCTCGAGCCACAAAATTACTATCTATTTCTATGACAAATTTAAAGGACGTGTAGAAATTTGTTTTGAATAGAAATATATAAATCACTAAAAATTATCACCTCAGACAAATATTCCAATATAACATTCCTTTGTTTGTATAACTGATACAATTTATACTTTTAACACCTAGAATAATAATAATAATAATATTTATTTACTTTAAAATACAGGGAACATGAAACGAGTAAATAAATATAATATATCCATAGGAGGACAACGCCTGTGCATGGATCATATGTATGTTGAATTGCAAAATATAATAAAATAGAGAGAAAAAAGAAATTATTGGTAAGAATGGTAGAGCATTTATTGTGTAATATTTGAGATTATTTTATTAATTTGATTTCTCCCAATCGTGTCAATAAATTTTTTTAATTTTTTTTTGAAGCCTAATGTATTGCGTAATTGTTTTAAATTATTTGGTAAATGTTCGTACAATTTTGGAGCTATATACAGGTGACATCGTTTCATTAGGGATTTGTTTGGTTTAGGAACATTTTTTGCGCGTAATTTATATCTGGTTTTATGATTATGTTTAATTATGTCGTGTTCACTAATAGTTTTGTGATAATGAGTGATGGTATGTAAGAAGTAAAGTTGTTTAGTATCATATACTTGTGCATCATTATATAAGTCATTAGTTGGGTATAATTTTGATTTGCCTAACATTGATTTTAAAATTCTTCTTTGAAGCACATCTAAATCGTTAAAGTATGTCGTGCATGCAGCACCCCACACTACTATACCATATGTTATGTGTGGCTCGACTAAAGCTTGATATATTATTCGTAGATAATATTCAGTTAATATACCGGTTAGAAATTTTATTTTATATGCTATGAATCTAATTTTCTTTAGTATGTGAGAAATATGTACATCCCATCTCAAGTGGGGATCTAGATAAATTCCTAAATATTTTGTATCATTAACTCTATTGATTTTTATATTTTTATCATTTACCTTAAACCGAAGGTGGTTATATTTTGGTAGATGATTAGATAATGATGAAAATGGTAAAAAATGAGTTTTAGTAAAGTTAATTGTTAATTTTCGGTTATTAAACCACTGAATAATTTTGCAAAAGTCATTTTGGATAATATCTTTTAAGTCGTTCCAATCCTTACCTTTATAGAGTATAGCAGTATCGTCTGCAAAACTGACTATTTTACCAGTACTGTTAATTTTGAATATATCGTTTAAATAAATATTGATTAACAGAGGACCCCAAATTGTACCTTGTGGAACACCACATTTAACAAACATTTCTTTACTATACGAGCTTAATAATTTTACTGATTGCGGTCTATTTGATAAATAATTTTCCATTAAAGTATACATCTTTCCACGAAAACCTATTCTTTCTAAGATTTCCAAAAGTATATTGTGGTTAACTGTGTTAAACGCTTTTTGTAAGTCCACAAATACGCATATCGATGGTACTTTTCCATCTATATTTTGGGTTATTTCATCTACTATACTTAATACCCCATCTGTTGTAGATTTGCCCGCTATAAAACCATATTGATTTGAATTTAGAATTTTGAATTTATTAAGAAAATTAATCATTTTATTAAGGAGTAATTTCTCAAAAACTTTAGCTAAACTAAGTGAAATAGGTCGATAGTTAGTGACGTCCGTATTATCATTAGATTTATAGATAGGTATGATGATTGCTGTCTTAAAAGCTGATGGAAATACTCCAGATTGGAAGGATTTGTTAATGATATAAGCAAGTGGTTCTGTTATTTGTTTGGCCAGTATCTTTAGATGTTCAGCTCTAATTTCGTCAACTCCAGGGCTTTTTTTATTTTTTAGAGTCATAATGGCATTGAAAACATCCTGATAGTCTACTTCAGTTAATACAAATGAATTATTCAGTCTTGTTTCATGCAGATGAATATCAGCATTTTGTTTGATATTATTTGCTAAGTTTCCTCCTATATTCGTGAAAAATTCTATGAACTCATCACATATTTGCTGAATATTGAGTAAAAGAACTATGTGAGCTACACTTAGTTACTTACACCCACAGACTTTGCTCTCATCCATTTTGAGAAATAAGCTGATGCCCCTTCACAGGACATCATTCTTTACCTACAACGCAGGTATTTTTACAATGATTTATCTCGAGCCACAAAATTACTATTCTATTTCTATGACAAATTTAAAGGACGTGTAGAAATTTATTTTGAATAGAAATATATAAATCACTAAAATTTATCACCTCAGACAAATATTCCAATATAACATTCCTTTGTTTGTATAACTGTTACAATTTATACTTTCAACACCTAGAATATTGAATATCATTCACTTATATGTTACATACATCATATTTTTATGCAGCTACATTTTTAACTAATGTTTTTATGTTTTTGTATTCTGTTTTTCAGTTTTTTTTTTGGGTAAAGGGGAAGACTAGCATTATGATGAACTTTGCCCCTAAATAAAGACAATTTATTATAATTGTTATCATTGTTATTTGAAAGATGTACTTAATGTAATCAGAAAAGCAGCATCAATAAATATTTTAGATGAACAAGAACAGTGTTTCATTGAGACTAGCTTGATTCCAAAATTTTCTAGGCCCTTAAAACATTTTCATTTCGTCTTCAGGTGATCAGAAAGTTGAAACCATTTACTACTTTTTTATTTAAACTCATTTAAAATTAATATTACGCGCAAAAACTCGAAAATAATGCATTGTACAAAGATTTTTCGGCCTTGGCATAGAAGTAAGTTTATCTCAAAATTACATCAAATTGTGATATTGACTATCAGAGGCGTCAAGGTTTGGCGAACAGATGAAGACAAACAGGTTGTTAGCATAGGAAGTAAGACGAACGAGTATAAAATGATAATTTTAAACACTATATAACTGTATGAGAGTGTGAAACAACCGCACTGTTGGCGATGTTTTTGACAAAAATAAATCTTCACTTTTGCATTAGACTTTGTCCTCAAGAAGAAACGCACTCTGTTCAATTAGAAATCGCAAATATTATACATAGGTATACTAACAAAAATATGCGCCCAGAAACAAGTTCACATCGAAATGCATCATCATGAGTAATCAACAACCAGTGCCTTGCTCCCTGGTACCCATCAGAATAAGAATGGCCACCAAACTTGCCCCTGACTTTTGTCCAGTACCTTTTCTATTATGTCATAAGGATGTCAAAAGCTAGTTTGGAAGGATTACTTTAATAACGTGCTAGACATTGTTCCCTCAAATGTTACGCTATCATTTTAATTTGAATCGTAAATCGCGAAGTCATTTTAAAGCTTGACCGAAATGACTATCACAATTCTGTAGCTTTTCGTGTTTAACAATTTTGAGGTGTTTTAGTTTTTCAAAGTTAAAATATTCACTGTAAGATCATGACCGTAAGAAATAACCTCCTCATAGTTGTATTCATTTTGATACCCTCTGTACTATCACCGAACAACGAATATGATGACAAATGATCGGTAGCAACAAAAACATGCACGCAGAAACCAGTTCACATCACCAACAACCATCACCTCGCCGCCGATACCTACCAGGACAAGAATCAGCCACCCGGATCGTCCGACTTGCGTCCACTTGACCGCCGGCGGTGTCGTCATCCTTGCACAGGGTGTTCGTTTGTTAGGTTGAAGCACGTCGCGCGATCAACGCACGAGTGGCCAGCCTGAACGACTACGGTCCTTTTTAACACTATTCGAAGACGATCTTGCTTGGGTCTTCGGTGACAGAATATATCGATGGCGTATCAGTTGCTTCCTGGAGCTTTGATAAGAAGGGAGCCGGTGCTAGGCAGCTTTCGGTGCGCTTTCTTAAAAATGCTTCGATTTGCGTTTGTATCATCTGGTAGAAGGCAATGCTGTATAATATGAAAAATGCCACCAAGAGAAGCCTAGGTACTAGAGCACAGTGGCTAGCATGATGAGCTTAAATCTATTTATTTATTTATTTATTTCCAACAGGTGAAACCCAATTACAGGAAACGCTGAAAAAATAACAATTAAAGTTACATGGTTCTTGGACTTAAATCTATAGTATCACACATTCTAAATAAGATTGGATGATCTACAGCAGTTAATAATCGATGCACAACTGTCACTGTAAATATCACACGATTCAGTAACACTATTCATGACGCAGCACATGAGATTAATTGGCGATTTTGTCATAACATTTGTACGGCCAGCTTGACAATAGAATGTCGTTTGTTGTCGACTCCCTAGCCTTGGAACGCGAAAACATATTTTTTCAAGTAAATTTTGACAGTCCATTTTATTGTGAATGAGGCCATAAAAAAACGACAAAGCAAATATGTTTCGTCTTGTTGACAGTGAATCCAGATTGAAAAAATCTAATAGGGCACTATGGTCACAACCTCCTTCTGTTTAAGAACCTGTGCATTTAAGGTGAAAATACTTTAAAGCTTTACGTTGAATGGCCTCAAGGATCACGACAGAATTTTGGTATATAGGAGACCAGATCAGAGTCGCATACTCCAACTTGCTCCTGATAAAAGTAGAAAATAAAGTCATTAATGTATCAACATTGGAGAAACCCTTCCAGTTTCTGATACAGAAACCAAGTAGTCGAGTGGCAGCCGACGAGACATTGAGTATATGCTCAGTAAACGTTAGCTTGATATCAAAAATGACTCCAAGGTCTCTATAAGAGGTGCATCTGTCTATAACCTGACCATTGATGTTATAATTATCATAAATTAAATAGTAAACTTTTCTTGTATAAGTCATAACTTTACATTTCGAAACATTCAGACTGAGACAGTTTCGTGAACACCATGACGAAATTAGAGCTAAGTCATCTTGCAACATGACGCAATCCTCGACTGTCTTGACTGACGTGCAGATTTTAAGGTCATCAGCGAAAAACAAATGGAAACACTTCAGTTCAAAAGACAAGTCATTAATAAATATTAAAAACAATAACGGACCTAGATTTGACCCTTGAGGTACCCCAGACGTGGCCCGATAGTAACTCGACCTATGACCACCATATTCGACAAATAACCTTCTATCCCTCAAATATGAATTCATGAGCGACAGCATTGCATCAGTCATACCCACTGTTTTAAGCTTATCCAGAAGTGCATAATGATCAACTTGATCAAACGCCTTCTGAATATCTGTGTAGATGACATCAACTTGTCCCTGACCGTCCAGTACTTCAGAAATGTACTGAGTAATTAGAGCCAAGTTGGTGACCGTAGATCTACCTCTCATAAACCCATGCACCCCTGACCGAGTAGTAAACCGTTTCATAAGCGATGATCTCAAACAACTTGCTGAAATTGCACAGGATTGCTATTTGGCGATAGTTGGAAATATCAGAGATATCTCCACTTTTGTGAATAGGACATATTTTAGAGGTCTTCCAGATATTTGGATATGTCTCTGATTTTAGAATTAGGTTGAATATGGAAGCCAGCGGTTTCGCTAGTATATGAATGCAATCTTTAACGAAAAAACGTGGAATACCATCACATCCAGACGTCATTTTGTTCTTTAATCTTTTCGAAGCCCTAATTACGTTTTCTTCACTTATATTTTTTAAAGAAATGATATCGGTAGAATTATTTGTTGGAGGAGATGACCCTAGTAGACCAGACGGGATAAAAACTGTTGAAAAGAAGGTAGCAAAACTGTCCACTATATCCTGAGGTGTATCGCAGACATTGCCGTTAAGCGTCATCCTTGGGGGGATTCTAGATTGCTGTTTTTTGATCAGGGCAAATGACCAGAATTTGCTAGAATCATTGACAATGGCATCCTCAACCGATTGGACGTAAGCGGAGTAGGCAACACTGATCTGGTTCTTGCTATGTCCTTCTTCTTGATATTAGGTATAATTTCACGTGTGAACCATGGGGGATACGAAAACATTTTATTTTTACATTTAAGGACATGGACCTCAAAGATGTTATTGATAACTGAATACAAGGCGGTACAAGCGACATCAACATTAACTGCACTGATCACATCCGTCCAATTAACATCTTGCCAGGCTGTGTACATTTCAGGAAAGTTAGCTTTACGAAAGTTAAACCGTGGAGAATTAGCAAATGGTAATTTCGTTGGAGATCCGGATGTAATGAATTCCATGATCAGTTCAGGATGATGAACGTCCTCTTTAACAGAAGGTGTATTATCTTTGAGGGCTTCTATTTCGATATTTCCTAAAATGAAATCCAGTATTCGACCATTTATATTTGGAATATTATTAAAATTAGTTAAATCTAAAAACGAAATAAAGTTGCTCATAATTGAGACTTCTGATCATTAACGTCACTGTTGAATGATGCGACATTAAAGTCACCAGCAACAATAATTTTACAATTACTGAATGCATTTGTTCAATACTTCCAAAGCTTCAAGGTACTGATCAAACATGTCCAAATTAATTGAAGGCGGAATATAAATAGAAAAGATAACAAAATGCTCATGGTTAATAATAAGCCTAATACATACAGTGTCAATCGACGTAAAGTTTCGACTCAAAGCACTAGCGTCAATTCTAATTGCATGGAAATCGCGTCTTATGGCTATCAGGACTCCTCCGCCGGAAATTAGGCCAGATCGAATAAAGTCACGATCACATCTGAACACACAGCATTCAGCAGGAAATAATTCACTATCACTCACATTCACAGACAGCCACGTGTCAGTCAAGCAAATTAAATCAAATTCGTAGTCACTGACTGCATTGAAGAATGACACCGTCTTAGAATTGAGACCACGAACGTTCTGGTAGGAGCACCTCTCTCATGACAATTTGGTCTGTTATTGGGTTCAGTTATGCGTTTAAAGTAACAATCTTCGGAACCCCATTGAAATATTTAATTCTGAGGTTACTTTCACCTTGCGCGATCGTTTCATTCAGTTTACTCTTTAAGTAGCGATAGAGCTCCATCTGTTTTGGAGTTTTATCAAAAGCAACCGATGCATTTTTATATTTTTCATTGTTTTTTAGGGTATTAGTCTTCTTGATTATAGTATGAACCATCTCCTCCGAGTGAAAGATTGCCTTTACTGGCCTGGTCGAGCCTTGTCTAAATTTTACAATGCGCAGAACCTTAACGCCCAGATTAGTAAAATTACCATCGACAGCCCCAAGCAAATTTTTAACAACAGCTTGATCAGAAGCCAGTCTTTCCTTTCCATCAGTACCTGTCGGTTCCGGCAAGCCAAATATCATCAAATTCTTTTTACGCTTTTCTCTCTCATGAACTTCCTGAACAACCTCCTCAAGCACAGAGGAATCAGATGAGTTTGAACTATTGGTAGCCTTAAGCTCACTAATTTTATTCTCCAAAGCAGACATTTTCGTAGCAACATCGTTCTTAAGCTCCTCAAATTACCTAGTTCGCCCATAAACTTACAGTTGTTGCATAAAAATTTGACTGACTTGGATACTATTATAATATAATTTAAACTGAAGGTTAGTGGAACCATGAAAAGCCTTCTCAGGCAGATTGTTCCATTATCTCTATGCCCTAGGGACAAGGGAGCGGTCGTATCGGCCTGTTGTGAATGCAGGAAGTTCAACACGGCGCGGATGGGAGGCCGAAGTCAGGCATTCACATCGTGAGGCGGAATCATGGAGGAGAGCTCTGAGAAGCAAAGTCAATTGACATAGCGGTGGAACAGAGCCATATCGCCAACGTCCTATCGGTGCGAAAGGGTCGCGAGACATTCCATTAGGCAAAAACCATCGATGAGGCAGAACCCTCCACTGAACAGCATCGAACATGGCTAATGTAGTTGGGGCGGCAGCACCCCAAACATGTGAGCAGTACTCATGGATAGGTCTCATCTCGACCTTGTACAAAGGGAGCTTATGTTGAGAAAACTACTTCTTAGCTCTAAACGAATAGCCTAGTTTTTTTCCCCAGTAGCTGCCGAGATTGACGATAATGTACGTACGTCAAGTCTTTAGTGATCTGGATTCCGACCAGCCGAAATAAACGTTAATCCCAAAAATCATATTATTATATTAAGAGCAATTATATTGAATGAATAAAATCGTGACTGATATGTTTAATTTAAAGAAATTTGGAACTAAACAAAAGAGATCATAACAGTTGAATCTAGTAGGAAATGTACTTAGATTAACGAAACAAGGATCATAACATTAGCCTTTTTCTTTTTTCTTTGTTGGGAGACGATATTTTGCAAAATGTGCCTGCATCTAAAATGCATACTGGTCTTGTTTGAAGATCATATACTTCTCGTATAATGTACAGGAACTTCTAACGCAATTTCATTATTGTTAAATTTTCGTTTTTACAAAAAAAATAATTTAATGACTGGAGGAACTCTTTTTCTTCAGTCAAACCAACTTCAAAGAATGCATACTTTGCAAAAGATATATCCTTTTTGTCCATTGCTTTCGTGCGTTTTAAATATTACTTAACTATACTAAGTGACATATAAATCCGAACACACAGTTTAAATGGTTTCATTTTAATAAAATTTTGTATAAGTACTTAATGAAGCATAATAAGTAAATGATAACAATTTCAAAATGATTGCACTGCTTTAAAGCCCTTTGACCTTTAATAATGTGTGGATGCACCCTGATGTGCTACGCATTCTCCAACGCGCCTAGGCATGCTTCTGATCAGGTGGTCAAT